GTCCCATTGGGGGTGATCGATGGTGGGGATTTGGGGGGGGGGGATGTTTCTTCTCTTCGATTTCATATAAGCTCCATCTAATATTGATTTCTGATTTAATCTTATTTAAGTTTTTTTTCATTTTTCGACCTTCAATGCTCGAGAGAGCCCGGTCCCTACCGGGGGGAAGAAGAAGAGCTGTTTGTCAAGTCTTGTGATCAGTGGCGTAGCTAGGGGGTTGCGGACCGCACCGGGTGACACCATCTGCTCAGGGGGTTTGACACCAAATTGAAACATTTCATATTAACAGAGCATACACTGCTGGATATAACTGAATTTCATAAAATGATAACCCATCACACATACATTTTTAACACATGAAACCAACTCAAATACGTTGTTTATTTAAAGGTCCAAGGTTGACACGTCCGAAATGAGATGACCCAGAATTAGGTTTTAAAAAAAAAAAACACACCGCTTTGACCATGATTCAACGCCGATTGAAGTATTCTGTAACTTTCGTAAATGACACGAATCTATATTTATCTCATTCCATAAATCTTTCATGGAAATAAATCTTTCCATTGATACCAAATACGATGTGGTCGGGCGATTCTAATTATATTTTTAAGTTCTTAAATACATTTACGCACGTTCGCATTTGCTGGCCCAACAATTTGGAACACACTTCTTCCTGTCGCTCTCAGAAACAGCCAGGCAGTGGAGTCTTTCAAAACCGATTTGAAAACATATATCTATTTCGCAAACACCTTTTGGAGTGATGTTGTCTACCATCTTTTACAGCTAGACGTTGTCTCCTAGATGTATAGTGTCCTGTTTTGTTTATGGTTGCAAGAGACGAAAGACTTAGAATGGTTATTCTCGTATGTAGTTTTTGTAATGTTGCGCTTTGTACTTCTATGTGATAAAATATTCATTTTTTTCACTTCTCTTTTAATGTGGTTGACTTTGTACCGCGCTTCGAGCCTTTGGGGATGAAGCGTGATTTTCAAACAAGCTTTATTATTATTATTACCTCCTGACCTTCAATTAATTTGTGTTTGTTCTTGTCATTGTTCTACTGTGGACTTATCTTAACAAGAAGAAATCCTTTGTGGAAGTCGGGGTGAGTGGGGGTGACACCATGAGATTACCACACCGGGTGACACCAACCCTGGCTACGCCACCGGGGGTGACACCATGAGTTTACAACACCGGGTGACAACAACCCAGGCTACACCTCTGGGGGGTGACAGCATGAGTTTACCGCACTGGGTAACACCAACCCTGGCTACGCCACTGCTTCTGATCTGCACCTCTCTACCATCTGGAGAACGTCCGCCTGTCTTCTGAGATTTAGGGGCTCGATATTTGTATGTATTTCACATGCCGATGTTGAAACTTGAAGTAGATTTTAAACCTATTGAGATGAAAGTCTTGTACATTTTCAAGAGAGCCTTGTGCTGATTTGATGCAAGATCATGGTACTAATGAATATTTAAATATATATATATATATATATATATATATATATATAATGATGGGAGCAGTAACTGAAAACCAACCACACACTTACAATTGCAAACTTAATAGTTATAAGTTTCGTGGCTTCTCTATTCTTAAAATAAATATTTCCCTTGGGGAATACAGGCAGCCCATGCCGTGTCATGTTTGGAACCATGTTTTATATTGATCTGATTATTTTCAACATTCCAACCTCCTTGGCAAATTATTTATTTTTTACTCTTCCTTCTAAAATTAAAATAGTAACACACATTGAAATATCGATCTTGATAGTAACTTTAATTTAAAACATTGTTTAAATGTCATTAAAAAATATGTAGCACATTTTCGTGGTTGTTTCCCCTGCTTCTTACCTGACAGGTGAAGCGTTAAGAGACTGGCCAGAGGCACAACGTCACGTGACAAAGCGTTTCCGTCCACCATTTGTTTTGAAAATGGAGGCCACTGTGTAGATGCGGAAATGGTTGTGAAATAGACACAAACAGACTCATTATAATAATCCTCTAAGCTTAAATCTGTACTCTTGTACAATGGAGGAGGCGATGTCCAAGAGTAGAGATGTGTTGGTTTTGCTGGTGATGTCCTTAGCGGTGCTGTCCTTGTCCCCAGCTGGTGGTCAACAAACAAGAATCAAAAGTATAATGGGAAATGTTGTAGTCGACACAGCTTACGGTCCTGTACGTATTCATTTAAAATTTCTCTTTTGGATTTCTTTTTATGATAGTTAACGTTAGGTTAGTAGGCTACTTAGTAAGATCGAATGTTAGCAGTTATACCATAGCTCTTATTCTTATGTGACATAACTAAGTGGGTAATTTAGGTTTCAGTTATTTGAAAACCGTAAAACCGGAATATTACTTTTTAATTTAAATGATTATATAACTAACAAGCCTAAAACTGACTACGGCTACTTATCAATTTTTATGTTTAAATTTAGTATAAATTAAGAAAGATATCTTATCAATTACTTGAGTGAAAGCTCTACCTGTAGGACCATTTTATTCTTTAAATCTTAGACTTTAGTCAGTGTCTTTAGCCTATGATATTAGGTACTTTGACACACATTTTAAATATTGTCCAATAGCCACAAATGATACACCATTTTAAAGGGCTCGCTATAAGCTTTGCAAAAACACCAATTTCATCTTTCTATCTTTTATGGAAAAAAAGTTATGATTTTTTTTGTGAATTTTTTAACCCCTTTATTTATCTTTGTATTTAACGAAAAAACTTGTGACCAACTTTCCACATTTCTGCTTTATTTTGTCCACAACTTTTTTATTTTAAAAGATAATGCTACCAAACTTTCAGGAGACATTCTCAATGCAATATACAACACAATAAACAACAAAACTTTTATATAACATCAAGACTTTTATTTTTTTATATATTTAATCGAGGGTATGTTCAGAAAAAAGTGAACAGAAAAATTGGGAAAATCATTATTTATACAGGAAAAATTGAAAAAAATAACATGTTTATTGAATTTTAACTAATTTTATTATGCTTGTGTTAAATTTTAAATCATTATATTTATAAAAAGGTAAGTAGTCTTTTTTTATATATAAAATTGAACGCATGTAATTATATATAACAAATACTAATATCACCCATAAAACTAATTACAAGCATACCCTTATCGGAGTATGTCATTAAATATTTAAAAGGTAATGGGGATCTTCTGCCTGCCATTTTCCGGGTAGAATGCCCTATAGTGACTTCTTTGTCTTGTTGATGAAACCCACACATTTTTCCTTCATAAACTTTGTCGCCGCCATCTGCATCCAAACGTTCCGCCTTATTGGATATGGGCCATGGAAGGAATTCCAAAGTTTGCAACAGAAATGTAAAATTTTCTCTTCCACCCAAAAGAAGCCTAACATTAAATACTAATCATAATTCTGAATCTATACAATTTTTAGTTTCTTTTTAATATTATTCAAGTGATGTTTTTATTAAATTTATTTCCTTTTTTTGTTTTGTTTATTTAATTAGAAATATATTATTGTTGATATAAATGTTAACATTTTCTTATGCCTCTGTCCTAGTTTGATATAATTACTATGATGATGTAGAGTCTTATTTATTTATTTATTTTAATAAACTTGTTATAGACTAATTCATAGGTTATCTAATTTTAATTTTAAACAAGTCACAGTGACGCAATTTTCACAAAAAATATATCATATGTACGAAAAAAAAATAATTTTATAATGCATTACCATATTTTATTGGAATTACAATTGATAATAGTATATTTTTAATAGTGGTAGCAACTGCTTTTATTTTGTTATTATCATTAATTATAATTTATAAATACCACTAATAACTAGCATTATATATTATAGTAGTAGTATTACTACTACTACATATAATAATTATATAAATCAAGGGACAAAACAAGTCCGAAATTCACCGGACTACACGAACTACAATTATTTAAAATTATTTAATTTATTAAGTTGTACTACTTTCTAATAATATTGTAAAACAGTTTTCCCTTTATTAACTAATTAGTCTACCACGGATTATCAAAGATGAACTATAATGAATAAATGAAAATATCTTTAAGTTAAATTGGTAATAACAACCATTTCCGACAACCCACTTTTTTTTGTGAGGGGGGATGACTCGGGTGACTACTAACAATTTTATTTTCTTACACCTTCCAGTTGGATTGGCATAACTTTTGTGCGTTTGGGCTAATTTTAATGAAGTAAAGTTATTAAACTGTGTGAATGAATGAAGCAGTATTGAGCTAAACCACTATGTGTTTGAGTTTTACATTAAAAAGTAATAAGCAATTAACGTGCATACCGATGAAAAATTAAATGCGTTACCGGTCACAAGATTCTAAATGCTGCAAATATGGTATTCACATGTTTGGAAAAATATGTGCTCTACGTCACCGATAATTTAAATACTATTATTAGGAAACAGTGACGTACAACGCAAAACAACAACACCCTCGCTATGCCGCATAGCTATATTGCAGCTCAAGTTTTTCCGTGATTTTTTGACTGCGCAGAAGGGATGCGCGTGCGTCTTTTAAAATACCTAATATGGCCCATGCATGCATTTGGCTTTGCTCCTATATTATATAATATTCATAAATGATTCATACACCCATTAATATAATAATCTATGGCATGGCACATGTTTATAGTATGGGTATACAATATTAAATATTATCTGTAGACTGTAGTGTTATGCTGTTTTATCTTATTTTAACTTTTATTTATATAATAGTAAAAAATAGGCTACTTTGACGTTAGACTACTACAGTGGGCTACAACTACATTGAATGGTTTGATTGATATAATTTAACACTGGCTTTTCTTGACAAATTAGAGACAACTGGATTAACCTTAGGATTTCACTCTTCTGACCAATAAATTCAGTTCATATGTGTTCTGCCTAATCATTCAGTCCTTATAAATATGTTCCCAGTGCCAAGGAACATCACAGTCACAGAGTCAGAGCATTCTGTGACGTTTCTATTTGGCTCCTTCACAGTTTTCTTTCACTGCATTGTTCTAGCTGAGTGCTGTCCTGAAATTGAGGTCATCAAATCTAGAGACATGAGCAGGCATTCTTTATCAGCTGTTATTTTTTTAAAAACTGAAATATTTGTTGAAATTTTTAGCTAGGGATCTTTTAACAATTTTTAAAAACTCTGACTGGTTCAGAGACACATTATGAATATAAACACCATTATTTGTTTTGAGTTTTTTGTTTCAAAGTGTTGTGGGTCAGATTCTAACCTGCAGACTGAAAGACTTGAGTGTAAGTGGAACACCTCTGACCCAAACTCTAATTATTGTAAAGCTTGCTCAGATATGCTACATCACATGTAACCAAATAGTTCTCTGATTGCTCTTCCTAACAAACTACCTTTTAATAAATATCCAATGTATTAATTTTTCAATTTATTTCAATTATATTTTTGTTATTAAATTTTCAGATTCGAGGAGTAACTTATTCATCCCAGTATGAAAATCTTCCAAACAGATGGGTTAATGCCTATCTTGGGGTCCCTTATGCTAAAACTCTAGAGCAATATGGAAGTGACTGGAGAGAGAAGTATCGGTTTCATGTAAGTTTTGAAAATGTGTTTTGTGCAAATATCTTTTATTTAAAAGTTTTTATGGAACTTAACCTTTCCTGTAGTTGAGTTAAGATTACCGGAATAATACAACTCACGTATCTTAGTTAAGGTGATAAATTCAAACTAATCCGTCAACGCCAATGGTTTTATTGATAAAACTTTGTACATTAACTGAGGCCAGGGAGTCTCATGCATTGCTCGTGTGAAATTAAAATTAAAAAAAACTTATATATCAACCTTCCAGAAAGACTTCTTTGAAACTGTATGAAATTAACTATATATTTCAATTCATTCTGATCAAGTGTAAATTGTGAATGCATCCTTTGACCAAATCACACAATGAAAAAATATTATTCTTTTTTTATATTTGAAATGTATCAGCACATCTCTATTAACTTTTATTAAACCTAATCAGTAACAGCTGAAAATGAGGAATTAAAAGTTTTTTCACATAATGTATGAATACTTTTTCATAATTGAATAGTAATATGTTCTAATTTAATTTAAGATGTAAAAAAAAAAAAATCACCTTTGAGTAGTTCAAATAATAAAAAATAGAAGAAAAAAACTATAAAAAAAAAAAAAATTAAAAAAATTAAAAGATAACTTAAAATACCAAAATGGGTTTAACTATTCATTTTTTTGGATCAAAACCTCAAGGCTTATCTCTAATTTAATTTAAAATGAAAAAAAAAAAAAATCACCTTTGAGTAGTTCAAATAATAAAAAATAGAAGAAAAAAACTATAAAAAAAAAAAAAAAATTAAATAGATTGATAGTTGACTTCAAATACCAACCTGGGTTTAACTATTCCTTTATTTGGATCAAAACCTCAAGGCTTATCATTTCAGAACCCAGACGAGGATCCATTCTGGTATGGTACTTACGACGCCACCAAACATAAGCCTGCATGCCCTCAGATGCCGTGGTTGGTTAAAGAAACCGTTTGGGATTTTTCAGAGGTGGCCGAGGACTGCCTTTATCTTGATATCTACACGCCGAATGTAAGAGTCGCCCATGTTTAAATAATTCAATGCATTTTCTTTTGTGTAGCTTTTAAGTCTAAGGAATCAAGTATAATAAAATATTTAAAGTCAACAGTGAGTCCTCACCTCACAATGGTCTACAATTTTTTTTACTAAAGATATTATTATGCAATTATATATGCCTCATAAATGAAACTGAACCTGACTTTAAATTAAAAATAAATGCTTTGTTTGATGTAAAAAATTATTGACAGTAGGAAAGTTTCTATTTAATAATAATAATAAAGTTTATTTAAAAATCACGCTTCATCCCCAAAGGCTCAAAGCGCGGTACAAAGTCAATCATATTAAAAGAGAAATGAAACAATCTATATTTTACCAAATTGAAATGGAAAAAGCAACATTGCTAAAACTACATACGAGCAAACCCAGAGTCTTTCATCCCTTGCAACCATGAACAACAAAGGCCAATATACATCTAGGAGATATTAGCTAACTGGAAAAGATGGTAGACAACATCACCCCAGCAGGTGTTTGCAAAATAGATGTGTTTTCAAATCGGTTTTGAAAGACTCCAGTGTCTGGCTGTTTCTGAGAGCGACAGGAAGGGTGCTCCAAATTGTTGGGCCAGCAATTGCGAACGTGCGTAAATGTATGAGTTGTCTAGTGGGCACATAAGGCATCATGAGTGCTTTGAGATAGGACGGTGCGATATCATGCGAGCAGCCGTAGCACAGAGTTGCAATTTTGTACTCTATGCGAGCAACAGACCGGCAGCCAATGCAACTCTCTCAGAAGTATTTTAGCATGGTTGAATTTGCGTTTGCTAAAGTATTTATTCAACTACAATTCAATATAATTACCTTAGTAACATGTAATGTATAAAGTTGACCCTGTCAGGATAAATTGCCGGTGATTTCATTGAACAAGCTATAAGTCTGATAGCAAAAGCATTGTTAAAATTAACAATTTCATTTTTGTCCCACCGTCTTCAGATGACCAATGAATCTCCATCATCCTCTCCAAACTTGTACCCAGTCCTTGTCTTCATACATGGAGGAGGTTTTATTATGGGTGCTTCCAAACAATTCCCTGGAATTTTCCTAGCTGAAAGATTTATAGTTGTCGTAGTCATTAATTTCAGACTAAATGCTCTGGGTAAGTCTAATTTGTGGAATCACATATTTATTTTAAAAAATCCTTCAATTGGTGACACTCTGAATGGGTTACAGTTTAAGTTATTTTAAAACATTTTTCTCAAATAATCCACAAATGTAGTTCCATTTGACCAATATTTATTTCGCATTACAGGCTTTTTAAGTACCGGAGACCGGTATTCCGCTGGGAATTACGGAATGTTTGACCAGATCAAAGCAATGAAGTTTATAAAGAACAACATCAAATCTTTCAGAGGAAATCCCAATAAAATCACTGTGATGGGACATAGTGCCGGGGCTGCCAGCGTGGGGATGCATCTGTTGTCGCCAAGAAGTGTTGGTAAGAATAACATTTTTCATATGGTTGCCTCTTTGAAACATTGGAAAAGTCCAGCATGTAAAGGATAAATAGATACAAACATTAATCACTTAGATAAAATAAATAGATACAAACATTAATCATTTAGATAAAATAAATATATACTAACATTAATCACTTAGATAAAATAAATAGATACTGTCATACAAACATTAATCATTTAGATAAAAAAATAGATACAAACATTAGTTTGGGAACACATGCATATTTTATACAAGTTTCAAGGCGTCTTCTGACAAAGTTCTTTCCCAATGAATTTTTGAATTGAATTTCATCCATGCTGTTGTCATCAGCTACCAAATATATTAGCAAGATATATCTATGATTTAAAATAGCAGACCCGTTTACTCTTACGATTTTGAGGTGTATACATTATATATACTGTGTGTTTATCTTTTAATATTAAGATAATTTATTGAACGATTTTGTGATGATATTGTACGATTTCAAGAGTTTGAGGATAAACAGGTCTGAAATAGGAGAATAGACTATTTCTTGGAGGTGTAAAACCATAATTATTGATGGAAACTAACGATCAATAATTATTTTTAATTTTATTGAAAATATTATCTGTGTAACATCCGCTAAGTACTGTATGTCTGCTTCATCTAGATTTGTTTAACCAGGCCATTATGCTCAGTGGCTCTGAACTAAGTGAGTGGGCTGTACTGTCCAAGGCAGATGCTTTTGAATATGCCAGACGACTGTGTAAGCAAGTTGGGTGTCCGGAGGTGGATTCTCAACAAATGGTTGACTGTCTGCGACATTACAGAAGTTTTGAGCAGATAGTCAACGCCTCGGCTCTGGTGGCCATGCTGGTGAGTAATTAAACTTTTATTAAGATCACCAGTTCAGATTATCATAAACACTATATTGAAATTCTTCATCTGTTAACGCTTGTCTAATTTGTTTTCATACAAGAGAAATACTTGTGGTTTTTGCGGGGGTGGGGGGCATAAAATTGTATTCTCCATCAGTGAAAGTTTTTGTCTTTAAATTCTTTATAATAATCCTTAGATGTTTTTTTTTTAAAAATTTCCTTTAAATCTAACCTCACTGACATTTTGTATGTTAAAATTAGGATGATAATCATATTTATGGATTGTATGTTAAAATTAGGCTGATAATCATATTTATGGATTGTATGTTAAAATTAGGCTGATAATCATATTTATGGATTGTATGTTAAAATTAGGCTGATAATCATATGTATGGAGATTGGAATTAACCCCACAAATCAATACAATTTGTCAAAACAAATTTCACTGATTTAAAGCCAGTCTATAACCGTAAGCCATGACTGAACTGCATATCTGGTAAATCACTTGAGATTGCTTTAAATTTTTTACAGCCCGGTAAAATAGGTAATCCTTGGGCACCTGTTGTTGACGGAGGTATTGTTGGCGTTAATTATGCCTTCCTGCCCGATCCGCCCGGTGATCTTCGCCGCCAGATTCGACAGATGAAAGTGCCTGTCTTAGCTGGCATGGTGAGAGATGAGGGTGCTTATTTCATACGTAAGTCCTCTTTTTTATTCACCTGACTTAAGCTTTAAACAAATAATTTAGTTAAAAATAGTTTTTAACCTGGCTTCATGGTTAAAAACAACTCACACAATCTCTTTTTTGATCTCAGCCAATCTGCCTAATATTATTGATGGGGTAACAGAACCGCAGTTCAAGAACATCATAGATGAGTTCATCAGGTACAGAGATATTGACGACCCAAATGCAGTGTTTGATGCCATGAGCTTCCAGTACACCTACTGGCCTCAGCCTAAAAACTACAGTTTTATACGCAAGGAGCTCATGGAGGTAAAGTTTAAAAAAATTTTAAATTGCTTCAAAGTGGCAGATTCATGTGATAGATTTCACGTGACATCCGGTTTCATATTTAAAAAAAAAAAAAACCCACTTCAAAATAAAGGATGTAATTTTTACAGATAACAAACAATTTTTACTCTGTTGGCTCCCAACCAAAATGTCAATGGATGTCTCACAGCTTTCTTTATGTCAGGGTAGCGGAGGAATGTGGTATTTAATTGCCACATTAAGTTTCAAGGCGTCTTCTGACAAAGTTGGTTGAGGTTGTTTTTTTTAAACCTAAAATTTACCTCCTCCTTCAGAAATAATTACTTGGCTTTAGTGGGTTTTTTTTTTTCTCCAATTATTTTTATCTTGCTCACTTGCTGTTTTGGTGGGAATTATCCCAGGCCAAGCCCGTTTGAATTTTCTACCTTTTGGTTGTTACCCAGATTATTACTATTATTATTTATTCGTTCTTCACATATGAAGATGACCAAGGCTTCGACTTGAGTAGTAGCCTTGACTTGAGCTGTATTTTGTTTAAAGTGAGGGAGAGCTGCTACATTCATAAGCCTCACTCTCTCGTCCCTGTCTATTTGATCCAATGGCTTGACTAAGTAAAGATGACTAATTGGACCAGGATGCAGTGGATGACCAGCTGTGTGTTTCACTGTGCTATTTATGCATTCCACATTGCAGGAGTTAACAGCATTTTCAGTGTCAATGTTAAATACCCTTCTTTCATTACTAACAACAACAAAAAACAACCATCAGACAAACTTGGGACTTAAAAGCTCCTCCATGGAGGAATAACACAGAAAATATGTGTTATATATCTGTTTGAACCTCATTAGATGATGGGCGACTATATGTTTGGAGCTGCTCTCAGTGAGACCATCAGGCAGCAGGTGCAGTACTCAACAGTCTTTCTCTATGTGTTTGAGTACAGTTCGTACAGGAACTACGCTCCGCAATGGAGAGGTGAGATTCATATAGTACCTCTATGTTATGTAAAGATCACTGCTAATCTAGTCCCCTACCCTAACCTTGTCACCTTTTCACAATTTATTAAAGTTCTCTAAAGATGAGTTAAAAAATTGAGTTAAAATTAGAAAGAAAAAAAAAAGAAGGAAATTGATGCAGAAATATGCTATTTATTAATTCACAAATCATACTGTATAAATCATACTGTTATAAGAGTGGATTTCAGAATAAAGAATAAATTCAATCAAATTATTTACTGACAATGAAAATCTGTCTTTATTAAAAAGGTATAAACCATGGCCAGGATTTAGACTACATTTTTGGATTTCCATTCATCAATGAAACCTACCGTGAACTCCTGGGACTATTTCCAAGGCAGGAGTATGACTATTCAGACAGAAACATTTCAGAATTCATGATAAGCATGATAACAAACTTCACCAGCTCTGGGTTTGTACTTGCTCATTTCTTTTTTGTGGTAATAACTTTATTTTTTAAATTAAAGAATTTTTTTCTACTCACATTTCCATCTTGTAATTTTTATGTTGACACGCGTGCTCACATGTTGAATGGCAGAAGAAGGGTGGGTATGGGGAATGGTTGTTTTAAAAAAAAGTTTAGTGTAAACATTCTTTAAAAAAAAAATACTTCCTAACAAAAGGGTGTTAAAACGCACTAAACAGTAGAAGTAGAAAATAATTTACAATACTTCAAATGCATCTTGCAAAGAAATACTGTGCAATTGTAGATGTGCACTTTATGAAGCCAAAGGATTAAAATTGAATTTAGACGAAACTTAACATAGACTTTCTTTGTGTTAAAAAAATTTTTAATAATTTTTTTTGGGGGGTGTTTTTATAAGAGAAAGTCTTATTTTAAAAATAAATAATTTTAATACATATTTTTTAAGTCATTGGTTGTAACATGATCCTGGCAGAAATGATAATGGGTTCTCGAGGTCCTTAACAATGAACTTAAAATCTAACCATAAAGACTAGTTTGCGTTTATTACTTTCTGCAATCTTCAATCAACTGTCACCACTAAACAACAATTTTATTTTTCATTCACATGAAATAAGCTTATACAGAAATCCACCTTGAAATATTTTTCATGGCAGGCACTCAAGGATTATTTGTTCATAAAAATATTAATTTTTCTCCTTATCACATCATCTGAGGTTCTCAAATTGTTAACCCTGGAATCACGGGTGATTTGTTTTTTTCTATTCAACAAATCGGTTATTTCCTCTGCCTGGTTATTTCAGTGAGCCGACGCCCAGGACGGAACAGATCCGCTTCTTTCGCAATATAAGCTGGTGGCACTATAACACAGAAAACCACACCTACCTCAGCATCAACAACGTCTCAGAGAACAGAGTCAATTACAGACAGAATGAATTCCATTTCTGGAATGATTACTATCCTAAACTGGCTGGCTACTCCCCTTGTAAGTTTAATGCTAACAATTTTTAAAAAAAAGTTTTCGGCACTTTTAATCAGGGCTGACATCTTAAACAGCATCAGAGGCTCTGGGCAAAGAATTGCACCGAGGGAGGCCCCCCATTCCTCTCTTAACCTTTTCGAGTAATGTAAGGAAAAGTATTTTGGGCTCAAATTGGCCCATGCATTATGACCAGGGTTTCTTTCAGACTATTAAGTGGGTGGGGCGTGAGGCCCTGGGCCAACAGCCTGGAGTGCTCGTGCCATAAAACGGTACTGCTTTTAATACTTTTGATCATGCACTTACTGGTATGTTAATAGAGAAAAGTTTTGTTTTCTTGTGGGGTAAGTTTTTTCTTATTAAAACTTATAGAAAAGAGCCATCACATACTATACTTGTATGCATGTTAAGGTATAAAAATAACAACAAATTGAATGCGATGAAGAAGTTTTGGCTTTTTAAAAAATTCTTACGAAGCGCGCTGGGTGAGGTGAACTTGACAGGATTGAACTTGCGCCACAGTTAAACACATCAACGGCCAGTATGTCAGCATGTTCAATACTGTCCATATATTTGCATATATTTACCAACAGATTATTTAAAAGAGTCTGCTGAAGCTGAACCGGCCAAGGCGTCAACATTTGAGTTAACCACGTGGTCACTGGTTGCTGTCAGCGGGGTTCTTCTTTTCGTTGTGATATGTCTGATAATTCTTCTGATCTGTCGGTCGAGGACCAAGAAGTAAGTTTTTATACGTTTTACTAATTAATTGAAATACAATGCAGAGGAAGTGCAGTACTTTAAAAAAATAATAAATGCATTTCTTATTGAAAGTGTAAAAGGTGCCTAAACGTTTATATACCGGAACTTTAAAAAAAATTTTTTTAGACGACTTTTAAATTTGAAATAGTGTCCAACAATGTACCCATTTATTCACCTGCTGAACTAAAGTAAATATTTTTACCACTTATTGAAAACCACAATATAAAAGCCATATTATGTCTTTCCAATTTAAACAAAACAAAATTGCTGTGTGTGTTTTCAATGTATGCTATTCAACGAGCCTGGAACTGGAATAAAGCTACATTGAATGATTAGAGTGAATTAAAAATTCCAGATATTAATTCTGTACAAGTGACATAATTAATTGAGGAATATTTATTAACTCTAGAATTCAGTTTAACTGTACAAACATTACCTCACCATGGTTTAATATATAGGGTAGCGGTAGCATAGATTTGCACAAATATTATCTATGAGCAGTACCATACTCTCCTGATTTGTATGACTTGATGTTTTGAAGGGCATCGTGGCTACAGGGGCGACCCAATTTTCCTAACATTTTCTGGCATAAGTATGAAGCCTTTTCCCTAAAGTATGTGCTTGTTAAAATGAACACACACCCCCCCCCCCCCCCCCCCATATGTGTAAAACTATGTCTCAAAATGGTTATAAAATGGTTACAAATAAAGGATAAACAAATCTGCTTTTCTTCCCGCAGATATCCAAAGTATGACTCAAAGTACGATACAGCAAGTTACGATTCCTCTACTCCTCCAAGCATCAAAGGGAAAAACAACAAAGCTTATGCCATAACTGGTCACACCCTGCGAGAAATATCACTATAAAATTTACTCATCGATGAGATAAAAAAATCCGGCATAATAAATTTTGTGATAAAAAATTTATGATTTTAATTGCCTGCAAAGTTTTTTTTTTTTTTTTGTATTCTATAAAAATTTGCTCAACCAATCCCTAAAGAGCATTGCAAGTTTCAGAAATCTTGAATTGGGTTGAGGTTTAGTCCCTTCCCCTCCCTGCTCTATACTATTACCACATGCCTAATTTATGTTTGAGAATAGGAGCGATTGATTCCTGTACTTATAATCCAACACTGATTTTGGTGTCTGCTGCATGTGTTTGTGGTTTATTGAATGCTCAGGGAGTAGTTGTTCCTGCTCATAAATAATTTTGTCGTTTTGAAAATTGAATGTTGATAAGGATTTACAAAGGTCGGTGTAGAGAGAATTAACCACCGTGGGTATAGAGAATTTGCTATTGACACTATAGGTCAGGTCAAGGTATTTTTCTCAAGAAGACACCATTTTTTTTGTGTAGTTATGTTGAGATAGTTGGTAATGGTCAGGGCTAAGTTGGTAATGGTCAGGGCTAACAGACTGTATTTGATAATCAATTGATGCTTTGAAATTAAGCACATTTTACGATTAGACTTGGGAGACTTTACATACATACATCTTACTTTTAAATGGCTTGTTAAAAATGGGCATGAATTAGTAATTTGAAAACATACATATGTAGGCTCCATATATAGTTCTGGCTAAGTAACTATAAAAAATAATCTAAAAGTCACACAGGTCTCTCTTCCTTGTTTTCACTCAACAAAACATCTATCAAATTTCTACTGAAACAAATATGTACATATCGAAGAAGATTTTCGAGGGGGAAACAAAATGGTTTCAACCTACTCAGTAATGTTGTCATAAATGTTTTTCATAATTTCAAGGTAACATTAATTTTCTTTCAAAGATATTCTAAATAAATAAAAAAAATACCCTTCAACTTTTTGTGCAACAAGAATTTTTCTAATGAACAAGATTACTGCAAGGATTGTGCCCTCAAATTATTATTTTTATTATCTCCCTTTAGATACCCCAAGTACCAACCTTCCCCAAGGATGGAGAGAGAGGAAAACCTTAAGTTTTCCACGTGTTAACTAATGCGCTGGCGTCGTTGGTGCGGGATAAATCACAAAGTTTAGATAATGAAGCATTGCATTAGTTTAGTTACTTCTAGTTTGATTTACTCTGTTGTGAATGATACATACGGTAAACAAAAGTTTGTTAAACTAAAGAGTGATTATATATTCTATAATTTTTCTACAAGGGCAGCTTATCTACATCATTTCTGTAAAAGTGTTTCTATTTTATATGTATAATATTTTAACCATTATTATTTTGTGTGACTGATTTTTTTTCTAAATTTCCTTAAGTATATGTATATTTTTAACATAAAGATCAGCTGAGAAATGACATTAAAAATGCTTATATTGCAATTGAAAAAGGAAAAAAAAAAAATTTCTAAAAATTTTGTAAAAATTTTAAAATTCATTTTTTTATCTTGGTCAATTTGACAGAATTACCCATCAACTTCAAGCAACGTTATTTATTAATACTATAATAATTAATATTGACTGCAACACTGATAGCAAAAGGTTCGAGGTTATTGCTTACTGTAATTTAATTTCCTTTTTAGATCTCTTGTGTGAATCTGCCCCCCAATTATGTGTGACATGTGACTGCTGTTTTTATATGAAATATATATAAATATATTTGTTGCAATTCAACTATTACTCCTCGGCAATACTTGTAAATATTATAATTGATTGGTGTTGTTAAATCTAAAGGAGTGAATGTTTTTAAAAAAATATATATTTTAACAAGTTTTATGTATGTATAAAAATAAGTTTCGCTTTCATGTAAATAATGGTTACATTCCTTTTTTTTACTACAATAATGAAATGCCAAGTGAGTTGCAAGTTATAATTTTTTAAATGTTTTGTTCTCGTATTATTTTTTTTGTCTGTACCGGTAGGAACCATGTCTACATAATCTAATAGATGTGTATTAATGTATGAATATGTCAAGGAAATCATTTAGAAAATAACTTTAAAAACAATATAGCAGAATATATAAGCAGAACTATTGAATAAATCAGTGTCTATTTTTTTATTTTTTTTAAAGAAAGAGCAAAAGCTTGTGGAACTTGTTCAACTGACACAATACACATGCACAAATTTAACTTTGTTCCAGTTTTGCTGAAAGGATGCATAACATCTAAAGATTTAGACTAGAGTTGATGTCTTAATCAAATCTAAACAACAAACAATAAGACAAATGATGATGATTTTAAAATTAGCATTAAAGTTTTCATCTATTTATATACACATATAAATAAATACAAACACATTTTTAACAGTGCATTAGTGTGGTTATTTCTTGACACAGCTGTAATTTTTTTATAGTTACCTACTCATTCTTATTTTGTTTATTTGATAATGTAATGGCAAATTTTTTCTATCCAGGTGTATGAGTGAACATTCTATTTTGACACTTTTCCATGATGAGAGGAAAGTGCATGAATTTAAACTGATAAGATTTAATTAGTTGAAACCATTCCACAAGCCCCCAGTTACTGGCCTATGGAAGAGGCCAAGTTATGTTTACACTATTCTCTGTTACTGTTGTGAGAAGTTTTTCCATCTAATGATAGACAAGTATTTTGGAACTTTACCAATCTCCACTGATTTTATTCAAATTATGAATGTTATCTGTCTCCACTCAACTTTTCTGAACTATGATGTGCATCAATTGGCTTAAAATAATATAATTGTAGTGCTAATGACTATTGTACAGTTCACTGCTAAGTTCCTAAAAGTCCTGCATGAAAGTCCTAAAAGTTTTGCACATATAGTTTGCCAATCACTTTTTGTTATTTTAAATTTTACAATGTTGCCTACTGACTACTGGTAGAGTAAAAGATCAGGGCTTCTGCATCTGAAAATGTTTGGGAACCACTGTGTGAATGTCCTGTCAAAACATAGACACAGTGTATATTTAAACATTTCCCCTTGTCTCATAAACTTCTGATTTTTACTAACATGCAAGCTCATATATGTACATAATTTTAGTAATGTTGTTTGTAGCAGAACATGTTCATACATTTTGAAACAGGTTCAATGATAAAGTAAACAGAAACATTTTGCCTGTTTTCATGTCATTGAATTACTTTGCCAATGAAACATTCCATATCTACATTAAGATTGTTTATATTTTTTTACTGACCAATTGCCACAAGTTGTGTGTAATATTTATATATACATTTGAAAGCAGTTTACTAATTAAATACATGATTTAAAAAAAAAAAAAGTTTTCATTTCTCTTTTTTTTCTTCTCTTCTTATTGGTTTCATTTCTGTTAAATTGGTGGGGGGGGGGGGCATGGTTCAAAGAACTCTTCTGTCCCGTGTGTCACTATTATGTTGTGTTTACATGGAAATGTGATAAAATTGTGTGTCATTTTAATAATATTAATAATGTGCAACAATATAAATAATAATAGGATCAACCGTAAATCATATAGTTATAGACTACAATAGACAACATTGTGGGGACATTCACCTACTTAGGAATAGTTATGTTATATCATCGACCCCCTCCCCCAATACACTTTTTTAAATACACAGACACAATGCTACCCCCCCCCCCCGTCCGACTACCCCGCCCCCCCTCCCCCCCCCCCGGTCCGGCTTCCCCGCCCCCCCTCCCCCCCCCCCGGATTTTTTTTGTTTGGGGGGGGGGAGGGGGAGCCAAGAGCTACACGAAGACACACCAATTGACTCAATTGATTTTTTTAATACATGCTCTTCAATAAAAATTGTAATTTATTTATTTATATGGTATGCTCTCAGCATAATTAAAGCCATTGCTGATATTTCTGGTCCTCAAAAGAGGTTCAATTATCCAGTTTCAAGTTTTCAAAGAATTAGTCCCTAATATATCATTATAAATCGGTTCAGTTGTTTTTATGGTTTATCTTATCTTCATGAAAATCATACCTGTGGACTGTGGGGGATATTATGCATTCTACAAAGTGCGCATTATTTTAAGGCTTTAAGCATAACCATATCTTTTCCCTGCAGTGATGAACAGACTGCATTTGAGTTTATGTGCCTGCCCTATAATGATATATTTAGGCTACAATGAAGACATATTTATAATAATATTATTTTAAAATAAATACGTAACGGAGTGGCTATAGGTACCCGGTTGGTCACGTGAGGGCAGCAATTGGCTATTTGGACCCGGCTGGTCACGTGAGGGCTTTGGTCACGTGACGGTTATGACGGATACTTCCTGTTGGTTTGCCATGTCTTAGAGCCTTTATTATCAATCGCTAAATGTGCCATAAATTTTGAAGACTTTTATTGGAAGAAACACGAAGAACAATGTGACGTACAGTTAAAAGCAAGTAAGAATACGTTTATGTTGATAATTTTATTGTATTTTTTAATTCTATTTTAAATATAGTTCTATAATCATTAACATGACATGACTCAAGATTCAAGATCAAAGTTTCTGGGGTTTTTTTTGGCGGCAAATCGGCTACTGTCTTATCTGTAATTGTAATGAAAAGTTTGGCTGCGGCTATTCGAACCCGGTATCAGAAGTGGATACTTCAATTTTAAGGTAATTTTAATTTATTAGTCATTGCTCGGGGTTTCCCATCATGGCGGCCGCCATCTTTGTTGACACGATCCGTGAGAAAGTCACGGACTATGTCAACCAAGATGGCGGCGGAGTAATAAAAAAAAAAAGTAGTGCAAAGACGGTTGGGGAGAATGCGTTTATCAACTACTAACAGAAATATAGAAAAATAAGCAATTTAACACGAAAATTTAATTGGGAAAAAAGTTCAGGTGCGTACATTATTTCTGTTTGAATCTCTGATTTTCCGGTGTAAGCTTATGTTAATTCTTTATAAAAAGTATTTTAAAAGTTATATACCATCTTTTTATTGGAATACAACAATTTAATTAACAAATTCTATGGGATAAAAAAAGTACATTTTTATGAATCTTTCGTGTTTTACGGAGCTGTTGTGATAAATCAAGGATAACTCTTCTGTCTTTAATGATGTATTTATTTTTTAACTTTACTATCAACTATAACCGGAGTTGCCCGGGGCTGCATTCAGACAAAAACATCTGCTACGTCCTTTAAGGAAATGTCAACAACAAAACAACACTATAGTTAGGCACTCCAACTCAAATTTTCAAATACATCTGACATACACAAAGACAAAGAGCATATCATTGGAAAGAGCTGGCTCTAAGCTTTCCAATGACACCAACATAACCTTTCTATCTCTTATAGGAGAAAAGTTATGAATTTTTTAGTGATTTATTTTTCCCCACTATTCGGATTTGTATTTAATTTTAAGACTGTGATCGCATTATTACTCTTTGTGTACTATTTTGCTTGTATCTTTTTGTTTATTAAAGTTAGAGCTCTCAAATTTGGAGGAGACATTTAAAATACAATGTTTAAAAAAACAAAACACATGAATTGTGAATTAACTTATTATATTTGATAAAATATGATTTTATTAGCATATGGGGTGGATTGTCGAAAAATTTAATTTTACAAAAAATGACACAATTACTAAACCAATAAAGCTATTGCTATAAAAATTTTAATACAAACAGATAATGACCATCTAAAAGTAAGGCACATTTAAAATAAATAAAATACAGATTAGAAAAATTTATGCAATTTTATACAAAATATTTCATGAAAAGCAACCGTGGCCGAGACATTTTTACATTAAAATACATAACTTTTAAACAAATGAAGCTACTGCAATCAAACTTTCAGTAAAAATAGTTTGTGACAATCCGAATGTAACAGAATATTCAAATATTGCATAAGCAAATAAAATCATGCTATACAAAATTTTAAAATATCATGTAATCTGTCGACATTTTGATGTATATTTTTAAGCACAACTTTTTAACTAACAATGCTAATTCAATAAAATCTTCAGTACAAATAGACAATCTAAATTTAATAAAGTATTTAAATACAACAACAATAATTCAGAACATTTTATAAAAGATATATGAATCTTCATCATCATTATTGTACCGGTGCATTTAAATACAAAACATCCAATGCAATGTAGCAATCCACGGTCCACAGGAAAGATTGTATCCTTGTCCACCTGAAAGTACACAAAATAATAAAAATTAAATTCTACAATGAGCCAATAAATTTAATCAAAACACAATTAAACAAAATGAAAATCTCCCATAAGAACTTAAGAAATTAAACGTGAATCCACCTGAAAGTATACAAAATATAAACAAGTAAATTGTACAATGAGCGAACTGAAAATTCCAATAAATTTCATCAAAACACAACTAAACAAAATGAAAATCTCCCAAAATAACAGCAGAAACTAAATGTGACAATGTTATTTCTTCATGATCTATGTCAGAAAATACCAACTTACAAAACAATTTTCCAGATTTCTTAACATATCCAACTAAATCTCCAATAAACTCCTTCTCTTCCCCATCAACTTCCCTAATGTGCCTAATTCTCATAGGAAGGCAGTCCATTCTACCCGAGAGTAGCATGGTCAGCTTAACTTTAACATTCTGACATATACCATGAAATAACTCGTCACAAAACCCTCGATCAGATTCTAATAAAGGTCTAACTTTCTTCTCCAACTTATTCCTCTCTCCCTGGTCCCTCTTCTGTCCCACCGCTATCTGACGAGCTATCTTAACACCCTTCATATCCTTATCCCGACCCTGTAACACCTTCCTAGATTTCCTGGCTTCACCAATAGCAAAATTAACGAGCCTCTCTTGTTCCAAAATTGGTTTACCCGATAACCAATCCATGGTTTTGTTGACCAGAGCTTTAACCTTGGCATCAACAAAACCAGTGGAAGCATTAGGGGCTCTTTTAAATTGGGCATCGACCATCCCTAAAACCCTCTCACTATGGATATTATGAACAGGGGTTTTTTCGTATGCAAATGCGCTTATTAATGGTGACTGATTTGCACTGAGTAAAGTGAGGGCTAGTGATTATTTTTTTATATTATAAGACGGACTCGTTTTGACTTTGTGGTATTGCTGGTTGTAGGATCATTTTGTTTAAAATGGCAGGACGACCAAGAAACAATAACTAAAATTGTTGATGCTGCGGGCATTTTTAATGGTGCAGTATTTGGTTTATACGCGCACCTTGTAGGGGAACAAATAACGTTATTACAACTGGAATTTCTCCTAAGGCGCTCGTAACAATTGCAATGTGGCTTGTAAGCTGGGTTCGTATGTCAAGTATGTGAGCTCCATATAATTACCGGGATCTGCATATCACCCGAAACGGGATCTCACCTCAACCGGTATCCCACCGGGATCGGTAACCCACTGGATCGGGATCCCACGGGATCAGGATCTCACTTTGATCAAAATCCTATCCGGATCGGAATCTCAACTAAACGGGATCCCACCGGATTGGGGTCTCATTTAGTTTGGGATACCACCGGAAACTGATCTCACCGGGATCAGTATCTTACCGGGATCGGGATCCCACCATGACCAGGATTCTATCGGAATCACATCGGGTTCGGGATCCCAATCATGATCCTTCCGGGTGCCATCGGAAAATGGGAAAAACGAAAGGTTTACATAAGTTATTTTAAGTGTTTTTATAAGAGACAAATTAATTATTATTTTTTTTTACTATAGTGTTGTTGACATTTCTTTTAATGTGAACTAAAGGACGTAGCAGATGTTTTTTTCTGAATGCAGCACCAGGCAACTCCGGTTATAGTTGATAGTAAAGTTATAAAATAAATATATCATTTATTTTAACTAGTTTCATCCAACTGGGCAACTTTTAAAAAGTATCTTTAAAGACAGATGAGTTATCCTTGATTTACAACAACGGCTCCATAAAACACGAAAGATTCATAAAGATGTACTTTTTTATATTGTTGTTGTATTCCAATTAAAAGATGGTATTTTACTTTTAAAATACTTTTTATAAAGAATGTACATAAGTTTACACTGGAAAATAAGGGATTCAAACAAAAATAATATACGCACCTGAACTGCATTTTTACCAAAGGGAAACCACACAAATTTATAGCATTTTGTAAAAGTGCGTTTCAAGAAAATGTAAAATTTTAAGAAATTGGAAAAAAATATTTCTGAAAAAAAGCGAAAAAATCGTCAAAAAATTGTTTTTTTTAACATTTTTGAAAAATGTTTAAAAAAAAACAATAAAATTTTCCCTTTCATAAAAGTGTGTAGCCGTGTGTTTAAGTGTATTTC